GTTGACACTTTCTGATAATTGGGTATCTTACTTCTGTTTTATGCATTAGTGTTTTGGCTAGGATTTTCAGAATGTTAACCGGTAGTAGTACAGGGATGGAGACAGGGAGACTTTGCATTAAGGATGAGGTTAGTTTTTATTTTAATGATAGATAATCTTTGCCATGTTGAAGAAGTATTGTTTAGGTCTTTACTAAGAGTTGTTATGATGGGGGACTCCTAAAACGATTTCTGCAATGAGGTCTGATAATTCTCTTATATATCACGATTTAATCACTTTTTCCTTCTTGGGAACAGGTTATGAATATTAAACTTGCTATCCTCTTCTTCTCTAAGCTATGGTTTCACAGCCTCATTTCTTACCCCAATTACCAGAGACTCTTCCCTGTCATATCTTTTTTTGGGGGGGGAGGGGACAGAGTCTCACTTCTGTTGCCCGGACTAGAGTGAGTGCCATGGCATCAGCCTAGCTCACAGCAACCTCAAACTCCTGGGCTTGAGTGATCCTCCTGCCTCAGCCTCCCAGGTAGCTGGGACTACAGGCATGTGCCACCATGCCCGGCTAATTTTTTCTACATATTTTTTTTAGTTTTCCTGCTAATTTCTTTCTATTTTTAGTAGAGATGGGGTCTCACTCTTGCTCAGGCTGTTCTCAAACTCCTGACGTTGACCGATCCTCCATCTCGGCCTCCCAGAGTGCTAGGATTACAGGCGTGAGCCACCCCCCACCTGGCATGTGTCATATCTTAAATAGCATCTTCAGCCCACTACCTTCTCTCCATAGCACCTGGCATAGCTTATATTTTATTTGTTTATTGTCTCTTCTCCTTTTGAAAATGTAAACTCTGTGATGATTTTTGTTCATTAGTATATCTTCAACATTTTAGTACAGTGTCTGGCATGTAATAGATGCTTAATAAATATTTGTTGCATGAGTCAATCAACTGTTCTAAACAAGATTAGCCAAGCTTGTATGTGTAAAAGATGGGAAGCATATTGTCTTTAATCTGCCCGGGGAGAGACTTTCTCAAATGTTTCTCTGCAAAAGTAGGTTCTGATAGGATTTGTCATGGATTGAAGCCTAAAGGGATCACACCAGGGAGGGACTGAAAGTTTGCCTTGGGACGACAGCCTTTGCCTTTAGATTGATCATAAAAGCAGTGGTTTCCTGTGGAAGTTTCCATTGGTATCTGCTCCAAGCATAAGTAGCAATGCCAGAAGGGGGCTCATCACCACTAAATACTTAAAAAGTTTTCTACCTCAGGGTAGAGAGTCAAAACAGTCAAAAACAGTATGGGTATGAATCTAATTGTTGAGTGAATGCTGTGTTTTAGAGAATAAAAAGCCACACAAAACTCTTTGACTAGCTTCTGTTAATTGACGTTCTAAAATTTCTGTCTTATTTAAATTAAATGAATCAGAGTATATCCCTCATGTGGAAAATATTTCTAATTTTGAAATACTTGAACTAATTATTATTAGAAATATGTGTTTATTTTATTAGTATCAATTAAAATAATCACTTTCATCATCAATTAAAATGATCATATGATGTTTTTCCTATGACCTTTTGATATGGTACATTTTAATAATATTTTTCCATTCATAGTATTAACCATACCCAATTGTTTTTGTTGTGCTTTTGTATACAACTGGCTTAGCATTTCTAGTATTTTATTTATATTTTTGCATCTATATTCATAAGTGTAGTTAGCCTTTAGTCAGATTTTAGTATCAATCTTATGCTAACCTTGTTAAATGAATTTGGAGTATGTTCATGTTTTTGTTTAACTATAGAATATTATTTATATAGACAGTGAGAATTACTCACTGAAGTTTAGAAGAATTAAGCTGAATCTGGTATTCTCTATATGGAAATTATAGTTTCTTCTATTGTTGTGATATGTGATATTGTTGTGATATGTGATATCAATATCAATGTGATATTGATATCACATATCAATAATCATATGTGATTATTGATGTGATATGTGATAGTATAAGAAATATATTTGGTCTTCATCTCTGGTTCCTGGCACAGAGCTCCTAAAACCCTTGTAAATTTCATGAGTGATAAGGATGAGAAAAGCTCTTTTGTTATTCATAATAAGCCCTTTTCAAACATACCTGAGTTACGCTAATGAGATAGCTGTTGTTACCCTTCTATATAGCTTCAGAATGGGGGCTGGTTGCTAGAGGAACCAATTGTATGATTAGAGAAGTGGAACTTTTGGTCACACCCCTTCTTCTCCACATCCAGGGAGAGGAAAAGGGCTGGAGATTGAATCAAGCACCAAAGGTCAATGATTTAATCAATCATGCCTACATGATTTAGAACCTCCATGAAACACACTAAACAAAGGGGTTCAAAGAGTTTCCGGGTTGGTAAACATATCCTTGGGCCAGGAGGGTGGCACACCTGAACTCTACGGGGACAGAAGCTCCTACCTGTGGGACTCTTTGGACCTCACCCTATGTTATCTCTTGATTTGGCCATTCGTGTCCTATATAGCTGTGGTCCCCAACCCCCCCGGGCGGAGACCGTACTATACTGGTCCATAGCCTGTTAGGGACCTGGTGCAGAGCTCTGCTACCCTCTACCCCCATCCATGGAAAAATTATCTTCATGAAAGTTAGGAAGGGGATGAGCAGCAGGCAAACAAGCTTCATCTGTATTTACAGCTGCTCCTCATCACTCCCATCACCGCCTGAGCTCCACCCCCAACCTCACCTCCGTGGAAAAATTGTCTTGCATGAAACTGGTACCTAGTGCCAAAAAAATTGGTGACCATTGCTTTATAGTATCTTTTGTAATAAACTGGTAATAGGAAGTGCACTGTTTTCCCTGAGTTCTGTGAGTCATTCTAGCAGACTATCAAACCCAAGGACAGGGTAACGGGAACTCACCATTTATAGCTGGTTGGTCAGAAATACGGAATTAGTATTGCAATTAGTTCTGAGGTGGGGGCAGTCTTGTGGGATTGAGCCCTTAACCTGTGTAGTCTATTGCTGACTCTGACCAGTTAGTGTCAGAATTGAATTGAATACCCAGTTGGTAGCCAGAGAGTTGGAGAATTGGTTGTTGGTATAGAAAAAAAAAACTCATATATTTGGTGTCCAAAAAGTGACTGAAGCTGGTTCAGAATTGGCCCACTTACATTTTTACTTTTTGAGTCAAAATTTTCCCTTCTCAAAGACTATGATTTAATAGTCATGAAATATTCTTTTATAATTAAAAATATCTTTTCACTGGTTTTTCATTTCCAATTTTGTGTATTTGTACATTTGCTTTAAAAGTTATAATTAGGCTGGGTGCGATGGCTCACATCTGTAATTCTAGCACGTTGGGAGGCTGAGGCAGGAGGATTGCTTGAGGTCAGGAGTTGGTGACCAACCTAATCAAAACAGTGAGATCTTGTCTCTACAAAAGAAAATTTTTTTAATTAGCTGGGCATAGGGCTCACATAGAGCCCTAGCTACTTGGTAGGCCGAGGTAGGAGTATCACCTGAGCCCAAGAGTTCAAAAGTTGGGGGCTGCAATGAGCTCTGATCATGCCACTGCACTCCAGCCTGGACAACAGAGTGAGACCCCATCTCTAAACATATATATAAAATAGAAGTGAGAAGCTTGTGTGTTCTAAAAGTTTTTTAAAACTCATGAGTGTATTTTTAAATTCTATCCTATTTTATTTGTTTTATAATGATTGATATTTAAAAGTTTCCTTATGTCATAGTTATTCTTCTAAATATTACATTGAATATTTACATTATTTATTATTTTTTAAAGAAAGAGATAGTAGCATTTAGGATTATGATTTTTTTCTTTGAGGACAGATTTGAGTTTATACCACACATTTTGAAAGAGAGTATTTTTGCCTTTTTTAAAAAATTGAAACTTATTAGAAAATTAAAGATTTCCAAATCATTAGTTTTAACAAATTATTATTTCTAAATATTTTTGAATATGAATATTTGGACGTCTTTGAAGCTGCCAGAGCTTCTGCTGACACTGGTCTTAGGATTCTAGCTTTGTTATGGGGGAGGACATGCAGTTACTAAGAGTACTAGGTCTGAATGTAGTCCACACATCCTGGTTTACTTGGGCCAGTTACAGTTTATGTTTACTGTTTCAACATAACTACTGTAGTATACCCTTCACTCTTAAAATATTATGATAAATCATATAGTCACTCTACCCAAAGGTACCTAAAAGGCTGAAAGCCCTCACTGCACATGCTCAGGGTGAGGTGCAAATGTTTCAGTGCTCTTTGAATCCATCAATGCTCTTTGAATCCATCATCCTGGATTCCTGGATTCATTCATTCATCCTGGATTCATTCCTGTTCTTGCTCTTTTCCCAGTCCAGTCCTGTTTCTGCTTGATACCTGACTTTGTTGATTGTTGTATGTGAACTACACTTGCCCATCTGAATGATGTGATGATTGGATATTCTTAGCTTAATGCTTGGCTCTTCTCATGAACTTGACTCAGCCCTGTCCTAATTCTTCTGCCTGCTTTGGACTTGCTCAGCCGGGATACCTGACCTTATCTGGCAACTCCCAGGCTCTCCTCAGTCCCTCTTGGGAGAGAGCAGGGTAGGAATTTAGACAGTAGCAGAACCAGGACTTAGGAACAATTCTTCCAATGCTTATTTGGTGTTATTATAACAGCCATTCATTTCTCTTTTATTGCAAAAGTAAGTTTTCAAGTAAAATAAAATTGTATTTGGAGGTAATCACTTACTTTTCCACTTCCGTTCTCCACTTCTTTTCCCCTCAAATCTGCTATTCTTTTCCGAATATTTGTTGGTTTGTTTGTAAAGGTATAACAGAACTGAGTGATAAAATCCGAGTGATCTAATTTGGAAAGCATGTGCACCCACCAACTTTTCCTTATAATTCTCTAACATTATTTCACTGGGTGAATATTTTAAAAGGCCTGCTGAATACTTTTTAATATGATCGACTACTTAGGAAATTGGAAACGACCATGGTTTCTTACCCGGAGGGATCCTCTCTCACAGTATTCGATCACCCCAAAGATCATGGTGTCCAGCTTCACTGTGCCGTAGAACTTGGTCAGGTTGTAATAGTCAATCTGAAGCAACTAGGAGAACATGTTTGTTTATAAAGCAAATCAGCCAGAATGGGGTACCAGAGTAAAAATTAATATGCCAGTAAAATGCATTTTGCCTTAGATCTTTAAAAAGGCTGTATTGCTCTTAATAAATCGAGTGTCAGTACCCAGTTCTTACTAAACATTACATCTTACCTAACAGTCTTTCCCTTGCTTGCAAGGGGACTTGAGTACAGACTTTGAACACCTTCAGATACTACCAGGGCCATATTGTAGGAAACACTAGTAGATTTCCAAAGTGCTTTACACAATCCAACCTCACTCTTCACTATCTCTTGGTTGAATTTTCAACGAGAAGCACGGTCATCCATGTCTTAGTCTGAGGGCTTCTCTGTCCACACCCGCAGGAGCACCTTACTCTGCTGGACCTCCGTGTTGAGGAAGAATGAAGTAAAATTACTTCCCAAGGGTTTGAAGGAAAGGATACATACCTTGTTCAATTCTATCTTCTGTTTCTCCGTGAAATTGCCGTCATTGTGCTTGAAGTCTTTGAGAATCACTCGCTGCAAAGATCAATTGAATGAAGGAGATACTGTTGCAGTGTCATTCCTTAACGTGCATATTATAACAATTTGCTTGCATGTCCCATTAGACTAGACGGCTCTTGAGAGTAGTGACAGTATTTGACTGATGTTTATATCCCTGGTGCTTAGTACCTGGGATATGGTAGGCTCAGGTTTGAATGTTTCTTAAAGAAAAACTAAATGAAATGGAAGAAAGAAAGGAAGGACACAACCGCCCCCCACATATGAGATTGTCATATTTCATATTTCTTAGCAATGAGCCAAAATATAATAGCAGGGTTGCCCTGACTGTGCTGAATCTCTTTTATATTTCCTTTTCCTTCCTGCATGCCAACCCTCCCCCAAATTTGATTTGTCCTTCAATTTCTCCAGGATTGTGAGTTTTGCAACCCTTGAAGCATAGCCCTGTCCAGCCCTGTGACGCTCCAGGAACCACCCTCCATAGCAACCCAGGCACCCGCACCGTCAGGATGTGGACATCAGGAACTGGGACAGTGAGGGCTCAGAAGGCCCAGAGCATATCCCAGTTGAAAGTTCAGAGAAGTGCGACAGGTCACCTTTTTGTCGTATTTGCACTGTCGTAGCCTCTGGATTGTATCTCGTCTCCTGTCATCGTCGATCTGGTACAAGAAAAGGCTAATTATTGCATAAGCTTCATTTCTTCTCCTATCTCCTACCAAAGGCTGAGAGGCTCTTCCAGGTGGGCTGGATCTGCTGTTTGCTCAACAGCTTGCGGGACAGGCTCCAAGAAAAACCGTTCTGATTCACTTGTCTTTCCCTCTCCCCGCTCACATTCTCACTCCAACATCTTCCCAGGCATCTACCACCGTCCCGTTTGACTCTGGGTTCCCTTCCTTCCTCTTGCAGCCTTACTTCAGCCGGAGATTTTCTTTGCTCCCTTCCCTCCCATCTCCTTTTTATTGGGAATCATGGTCTGTGGCTACAGTCACATGCTCTTAGAGAAGGGTGCTGTGCATTTGAGCTGCAAACTCCTGTCTAAAGGCCCCTATAAGCAATGCAAAGGAGGAAACTGGCTGTGTCCATGGGGAGCAGTCTCATTAGCTCTGGGTCCAGCCTGCAGTTGCCAGTTCACCTGATTTGTCAAAAGAGGCTGGTAATACGGATATACTGGCAAGGAACTTAAAAAGTTAAATGTTGAACAAAATTGCACATGCGCACACTGCTGCAGGCTAAGTAAGGCTCTCGACTCGCCAGTTAACGACTTCTCTGGTCTAGAGACAGAGAAAAGGTTGGGAACTTTTACATCTTTCAATTCGATTCCCAAAAAACCTGGGATTTACTATTATCTGTGTTAAAATTTACCTTACAAGGCTGTTTTGAAATGTGAGTGATATAATTACATCAAGTTCCTAGTATGAAGCCTGACACAGTGCCGATTAATGAGCGTCAGTTGTCATCACGTCAACCTCTCATTTAACAAATGAGGTATAGAAGGGTTAGATGGCATTAAATGCCATGTAAGAAGAGAGGGGCAGGCAGGACCTAGGCTTGTCTGCTTATCTTGTGTTCTTTTTACCGTTTCAGATCTCAATGAGGTCATTTAAACTATTTGAACCTCAGTTCCTTCCTGTGCAATTCTAACTCACAGGGATACTTAGGGATCCAAAGAGACAAAGTTTGTGAAATTTTCTTGCAAGCTAAAGGACTTCTCTATTTTCTCCTCAAATGACTTATTATCATCTTTTATAATTTTTTTTCTGTTTATTAGTCCATCCCTTGGACTCTCCTGACTTCTCTTCCTGTCTGGATTCCTTGGTCTGTTTTTCTGACCCTGTCTGTTCTAGTTCTGGGATGTTTAACTCTTTTTCACCTCATTGCTTAGTCTTTCTTCCTTATTTGCCTTCAGTGAATACCCAGAACTTGAACCACTATCTGTCTGACTGTATGGTATTTTCCACTCATTCTGACCTTGGCTGACCTTGGGCTTTCTCCATGTTCTACCCGAGTCGTGGCATCTGATGGCCCCTCTGGACAACCAGTTTCTGGTCTGCCTGCTCCCCAGCCTGTCTGAACTTCAGAGTAACAATGGTACCCCCATGCTCTGAAACGTTTCTGACTTCCCTCCTTTGAGAAGGGAAGTCCTAAAGACCTTTTCCTTAGCCAACTAAGTGGCTAATCTGAAGAATTAACTTAATAAAAATAATGTACTCATAAAAATTCTATACAGAACCTGACAAGGGATAGGTGGGTTATACTTCTGGGAATATTTACATTTTAAGAAAACACAGAGACATACATGTTTTAGGATTAATTCAAAAGAACAAATATGAAATATGGGGGTTTGAGCAGTGGAGAAGTATCCGAGAAGTGGAGCCAGGTGTCCTACAGAGAGACAGGAGCACCTACTCCTAAAGGTCTCTCCTCTTCCTGGTATTAAATTAAATAAACAGGAGCCCACTGACATGAGGGTTTCTCTGTATTTCGAGTTCCTGTATAACAGCTACCTAACTTATCACATAAACAAACTCAAACCTAATTTAGGAGTTTACTTTTGTAACAAATAGCTGGATTTCAGCCATTCAAAGGCAGCCAACTGACCAGACCATATCCAAATTAGGCAAATGCCTGGCTGCAACCAGCCAGTTTATTTGTGTACTCGACTTCCTTGTACAACCTATAAAAGTTTATTACCCATGCTGCCGAGTGCAGCGTTCTGAATCTCTTTCAGTCTTGAGTGCTGCCCAGTTCATGAGTCACTTTTTGCTCAAATAAATTTTGCTTAATCTGTCTAACTCTTTTCTTTCAATACTAGGTACTTCCCATTAGTCATTTATGTCAACAAATTCTGTCTCCAGAAATCCAATAGTCTTATGATCATTTCCACCTTACCATGAACGACTGCAAGACTGATGTTATCCTGACACTTATATGTGATAGATTGGTCTTTGTGAATGAAAGTTGTATGCATGAGGTTCAGAATGCAGCAGGAGGGTTACTTTAGAGCATGTAGTATTTCTGAAGGAAAGGAAGATTTAGTCCAGGTGTAGCTGTGGGGGCTCCGGATCATTAAAGAGCAGTACACAAGACTTGGGGAGGAGTGTCAAGAACTGGCAGCGAAGCTCCAAAGACAAACCTACCCAGGCTACAATTTTATCCTTGCTGATTTTAGGCAAGGAGGCATCTCAAATTACACCACCCTATTGGTTTTTCCCTACTCTGAGGGAGTCCACGAATTCCCTTCTGTGGAGGTTATGGGTCTTCATATCTTCTTAGTATGCTTTGGTATAAAAACTCCGATAATTGCATGATGTAGGGTAGGTGCTAGGATCTTAGTTAGACAGACTGGGTTCAAATTGTAGCTATGTTATTGGAATCTAGCTCTGTTACCTCATAGGGCACAGGGGAAGATGAAGTGAATTAATGCATGTGGCACATAGTAAATGCTCAGGAAGTGTTACCTATTATTACTTGCAGTAATCTTACTCACTAGTTGTATGTGACACTGTGCTGTTCTTTAATCCTTTGTTCTTAAGTTTCCTCATCAGCAAAATTGTGATGATAAAGCTTAACTCATGAGTTTCTCGTCAGGAGTAGATGAGACAACATACATCCAGCATTGACTGCAGTAAATGGGAGTAAGTTATTATTGGCTGCTGCTGGTATTTACTGGCTGAGGGAGATTGTAGGCAAATATAGGTGGCAACTTCTTTCTTCAGCAATGAGTAAGGCAGTCATAGGTCCTAAATAAGGGTAGATGAGCATCCAAGGTTTAGGAGAACCCATTCCTGCATCCCTTCCATGACAAATTCCCAATATGTGCATTTCTCTTCTGGGTCAGATGCAAGGAATTAGAACAGACCACATCTCAGCCTCCACTGAAGTGTTCATTGGGTCAACTAGCTGACATTTGGGGCAATGAAGAATCAAGGGAAAGGTAGGAAACTGAAAATTGGAAAATATCTATGTCTTGGATTCTAGAGCAAACTATCCCTGCTTGGCACATTTCCTACCATGCTATCAAAGTCTTGTCAAATACCTGGCAAATTGCACCATTACCTTTCAATAGGTAAGGTAGACTTTACCTTCAGGCTAACATGATTGGTCTCATTGGTCTCCAGAGGAAAGATATTTTCAGGAGGAATGTGGGACCATTTTTTCTGACGAAGCTCATTATCTTTTCTATATTTTCTGTGGAAAAAAAAAAAGAGAACTAGTTAATAGGTTCTTATTAGTATCCATACCATTCAACTTCCAAACACTGGGAAAAATGTAGAACCCTGGTATTCTCAGGCAGATGTGTTGTGAGGGAAAGTAGCCCAATGCTGTAACTCCATGTTCTCCAAACCATCAAGTGCTGGCCATGAGTGGACCTGCAAGGACTCCTGATGGGTGTTTATATTCTTTCTTTTCTTTCCATTTCACTCTCCCAGGTACTTCACTAAAGTAGTCCTTCACTATAATAAAGGATCTGAACTGATGACATGGAAATAGTGAAGAAAAAAACAGAGGAAAAAAATTTAAAACTGATAACCTTGAGAGGCAAAAATATTAATTTTTGAAAACCCAGAGAATACACCAGAATCCTAAATTAGCCAATTCCTCTTATGCCTCTGTGGCTTAGAAGATTTTTTCTTTTAAAAAATAAAAAGTACAGGCCGGGCGAGGTGGCTCACACCTGTAATCCTAGCACTCTGGGAGGCTGAGGCGGGCGGATTGCTCAAGGTCAGGAGTTCGAAACCAGCCTGAGCAAGAGTGAGATCCCCATCTCTACTATAAATAGAAAGAAATTAATTGGCCATCTAATATATAGAGAGAAAAAAAATTAGCCGGGCATGGTGGCGCATGCCTGTAGTCCCAGCTACTTGGGAGGCTGAGGCGGAAGGATCGCTTGAGCCAGGAGATTGAGGTTGCTGTGAGCTAGGCTGACATCATGACACTCACTCCAGCCTGAGCAACAAAGTGAGACTCTGTCTCAAAAAAAAATAAATAAATAAGATAAAAAGTACAGAGAAAATGTAATAACATGTATCCCAACATACAAAATTTCATACTTGTTTCATTCAGATAGTATAGATGAAGCAGAATTCTTGGCTTGTAGGGGACATACACTTTCAATTTTACAGATATGACAAATTGCTTCTCAAAGTGGTGGTATCACTTTATCTTCCCATCTTGGGCATCCAAGTTTTCCATGTGCTTGGAAGCATTTGGGATTGCCAAACTTTACCTTTATGGTGTATGTGAAATGGAGTTTCATTGTCCCTTTACTCTGCATTTTCTTGATTACCACAGAAATTATCTTTTCAAACATTTTCTAGCTATTTTATAGAATATATAGAAAATTTTGCCCATTTTTCCTATTGCATAATTTTTTTCTTATCCTGACTAACTTACCTGAGTTCCTTATACATTCTGAAAAACAAATTCTTTGTCTTTTAGTGTTGCAAATACCTTCTTCTAGTTTATTGCTTCTTTCAACTTTGTTATATGGAAAATTTTGGTTTTATTATGGCCATATTTATATATTTTTTTTCTTCCATGACTTCTCATTTTTATCTTGACTGAGAATTACTTTTCTAACCTGAGATCATAAAGTCATTTTCTATTAATTTCTTCTAAGTTTTGAAGTTTGATTTTCTCATTTTGGTCTTTACCATTTAAAGCTCCATATAGAATGGACTGAGTCTTTGTGTGTTGTTTCAAGTACGGTTTTAATTTATTTTTTACATCTGAAAAACCTACTGTTCCAACATCATTTACTAACTGACTTATAATATCATCTCCGGCATATTCCCAAGTTCCCATACTTGTGTCTGATTCTGAAGTCGATATTCTTTTCCATTGACCTGTTTGTCCCTGAGTTTGCCTTTGCTTTTTTTTAGCCAGTTGATAAACCCCCACTCACCTTCTCAAGGTCATTCATAATGCCTTTATTAATATTTCCTAAGCAGAAATGATTATTCTATTCCTATGTTTCCATCTAACTTTGAGTATTCTTCTGTTAAATACATATAGAGTAGCATATTATTGACCAATTATTATGGTCCTAAGACCTAGAGGCAAGTAGGATGGATATCAAGACCTTGAAGGTTCCCAGCCTCTCATCTCTTTACTCCAAGAGATTCTTGGGACTCAGAAGGGCCAACTGTCATTCATATTGAATAAGGGGATCCCATAAATTACTATTAATACTTTTCTTGCGTAGGCTGCATAATGGAAAACTACACAAGTAACATCTGTCTTCCAAGTCAGATGGACACATCATTGCTCTGGCCATTAGGAAGCCCTGTCTCTGTCATCCATGCTCAGAAACAATGGGAAATCCCTGCTACCATTTTTCATCTTGTGCTTTACCCCTATCTTAATCTGATCCCCATTTGGACTTGGTTTCTGAGGGAAATTTGGGGTTCTGCTTACTTTCAACTAAATAGTCACCACACACTGTAGACTATCTCCTATATTTCTGAGCAACACAGTTTCAAGAGCCAAGTTCTGCTTTTAGATTGAAGAAAATAGTCTTCTTCCTTTCCTGGAGAAAATGTCAACTGGCATGTGGCAGGGTGGGCACTCAAATGATGAGAAAATACAGTGGCACACAGACCAAAGTGTGTGACGCACAAAGCAAATTGTTGTCTGGTTTAGTTAGGAAATGCAGTTGATCCTGATGATATTAGGTACAGAAAATTCTGTGTTTAACATATACAGATTAGGAAGTGGTGTGGTATTTACTCACTCACTTATATATTCAACACATATTTCTTAGTACACACCATGCCTCTGGCTAGGCACTTGATATACCCAAGTTGAGTAGAAAAATCATAGAATTGACGGTCAGAGTCCTGAGTTCTAGTTCTGGCCCTACCCTCTCTGCCTGGCAATATGATTCTAGACAAGCCACTTTGCTTTCTGGATTCTATTTTCCCCATGCTATTAACATAAGAGACTTGGAACAGATTATTTCTAAAACCTCTTCTGATCAAAATATCTTGTAATATAACGATTTTTGAAATCTCCCACAATATACAAATACAACTGTAAAAATAACTATTTTCATTGCTCTAATGCTTATTATATGGTAGTCTTTACACATGCCCCATTTCTAATCCTCAGCAGAGATGAAGAAATCGAAGCTAAGTAACCTGTTTAGGTTGCTAAGTAACATGCTTAAGACCACAGAACTAGTAAATCACAGAGCTGGGATTTGAGTTCAGGTGCCTCTGGCTCCAAAGCCTTAATCTATACTCTTAGCAATATTCTGCCCTGGATATAGTCTTTGATGCAGAAGCCTTCATTATCTTAGGTCGGTCTAGAGACCTCTTTGTGCACATATGTTATCATCAACAGACATTAGACCTCTCCCCTTGCCCCCTCCCTCTCTGGATGATGAGCATGGGCAGGAGAGGGGTACCTGAGCACCAGGAGGGCGATGAGGAGGAGCAGTATCACAGTCCCGGCGAGGGTGAAGACTGCAATCAGCAGGATCTGAGGGCCTGGGGAGGTCAAGACAGTGCACAGTGCATTAGTAAAGATCTTTGACAAGAGAGCAAAAGCATTTCCAAGATTCTAGTTGTATAATGTAATTTGGGGACAGGAAAGAGAGAGAGCTGTTTAAAAAATATTTATCTTTTATTAATCTCTTCATTGGTAATTATAGGTCCTGGGTCCCCAGTGTATGAAGAAAACTGTCCGGCATGTGCCCAGGGCAAGTAGTTTTCATTGTCAGCTATCCTTGTAGCCTGTACATCTCTTTTCTTTCTAACAGGAATCAGCAAATGTTACAAGAACATAAAAGCACACAAATAATTTTGGTGGAAGAAGTCTACCTGGTATCCTTGAAATCAATACACCTAAGGAGGTTTCACAGAGGAAGAAAGAGACAACTATTTTTAAATACAGAGCACACATCAGAAGAAAAGTATATTATTAAATGGCAGTGTAGCATGTTGGCTGTTTCCAAGTTCTCCTAGGCTGTTCAGAGAAGTCAATAAAGAATGTGATCGTATGTATTAGAACACGAGTGTGTGGGTGGGTGGAGTTGTGTAGGTCTAGCAAGGTGAGACTCTCGGAAGAGTAAGTGAAATCCAGGAACATGTGGGTCCAACCCAGGAAAGCACTGATACAGAGACTCAGTAGGCAAAAGAAAAAGCCCGGGGTGAAAAAGAAAACCAAAAAAAAAAAAATGCAAAAAAAAAGCAAGGGTCAAAAAACCCAAAAAAAAATCCCAACAAAAAAAGAAAATAAGAAGGTCAAAAAAAAAAAAAAAAATGGAATGGATTCCAGGCAATAGACAGAATGTGTAAGAAGCTGGGAAATATTAATAACAGCAGTAGGGGAAGAAGACGTGTTTCTTCTTACAGCAAGGGGAAAAAAAAGAGACCCAATCAGAAACTTTAGCAAAAACTATTCAAGGACTACATAGTCCAAAAATGAAACAAAGAAACATGTGGCCTGATTGTAAGAACTGGGCATGGAAAGAAGAGAGAATCCATTTTCTCTTGTGCAGCACAAAAGGGAGACATTGGAGCTATATAGAAAGAAATGTTATCACGGTATACTATTTAGCTTTGTATAAACAATATTTACATCACACTAATAATAATAATGTTTGCCAGTTTCAACTTATAGAATCAACTTACAGGTAAGACACAGAGGTCTTTATTATGGTTATCAAATAAATATTATCAACTCTGACAAATTAAAGAAAAATACAGGAAAATTTAGGAGACGGAAAGGAGAAGAAAGGATTGGGGAGCTAACATCTTCATTTTACAAAGTGGGGGAGCAAGACCTTTTACATACAGTTGATAGACCAATGGTAGAAGCTCATGCATATTAATTACAATGAAAAAGGAATCCAATAAACTTACTAACAAAGAAGATACAACTATATTGGGAAGAAATGAGAAAGAAAGAGGGCGGATGAGGATGTGAGGATAAACTAAATCTTCATTTATCGTACAAAAAATAAACATATAATATCTAAAGTTTATAAATAAAAAACCAGTATATTACTTAGAAATATGCAAAGAACTAAAAGCAGAAATAGCTGAGAGACCAGGAATGCTCTGAGTGGGAGTAGGCACATTCACTTTTCATCACGAACTATTGGATTTTAAAATTATTTGCATGAATTTTTCTTTGCTAAAAATATAGCTAATGTAGGTGCCCTTAAAAAGGAAATACCTAGACCTCATTATGAAAGTAGCACCCCAAGCCTTCATACTGTATTCTCTGTCATGGCACCATAAACTCCTTGAGGACATGGTCCATGTCCTACTTTTCATCCTTGTACCTTTAGCACCCAGTACGTGGCAAAGTATCAATAAAAAATGGCTGACTGAGAAAAAATAATGGAATAAAAACTTAGCCCTGTTTATCTTGCTGTCTGAAAGGAGGCAAGGAAAAAGTGCCCAAACATTAAAATACGTAAATAAATCCATTATAAAAGAACTCCTGTGCCATTAAGCTTATCTCACATGTCCCAGGTATTTTTAAATTGTTTTCATTTCATCACACTATGTCCTTCAAATGACCTAACCATTTTTTTTTTTTTCCGAAGTAGAGAGTTTAGCTTGGGGTGAATACTGCAGCATCTTTCTATAAGGGCTGAATTTGAAAAGTATGTGTTTTGCTAACATGTGACTTTGCCTCTTACTACCTATTATCTTGTTTTATGCTAAGGGGAAACTTTCTACAGTGAAAATGTGAGCTCTAGATTTTTACTCTTATCTGGGAAGAAATAAATTCATACCTTGGAGCCGAGGTTGCATCATGAGCACATTTGCCTTTGGTGAATTCTGTTTGTTGCTACGATCACCACTTCCATCGCTAACGCCACCATTGCCACTACCACCACCATCACACTTCCAACTCCAGACAAAAACCAAAAGTGACTACAAGAAATACGATTTCAACAGTGCAGAGGATTCCACTCACCAGTCTACTAAAATGACACATCCCTGAGACTAGAGCATGATTTGGAGAGAGATGAGGGACTTCTCAGCCCACCTAATTCCTACTGCCTCCCACAGTGTGAACATCTCCCTGCACTAGACCTAATTATGATATTTACATGCGGTATTTAAAAATACTGTATACTACTTAAAAATAGTAGTTTTAAATTTTACATAGTTTTTAGGTGCTTGTTAGATTAAGTCAGGTACGTTCTACATTCTGAGGTTAAGCTTTTGCTGTCCTCTGGTGGCTGCTTGTAGTTATCACATTTTGTCTAACTCATTTCACAATGAATGAAAATGAATTTATAACCCTAAGGTCGTATGACGTTATGGAAGGAAGGAACCCGTTAAACCTCCTGATTTAACAGAGGAAGAAACTCACACTTAGAGAAGAAAAAGGAATTGGCTGAAATTAACACAGTATAGATAAGTGCTGGAGTACAGATAGAAATATATTCGCCGTTCTGTTGTCATTCACTCATTCATTCATTCATTCATTTTAAGGCACTGTGTTAAGGTAAGGAGATATAAACAAAGAATAGACCTTACACTTACAAGGCGTATGGTATAAAAAGATGTGTAAATAAATAAGTATGATATGAGTACTATGCTAGAAGTTGGGTATGGTAAGACCAAGATTAATAACCTCCTAGGATGCTAAGAAAAAGCTTAGGGAAGGTGAAATTCAAGTTAAATCTTGAAAATGAGTACATGTTTAACAGTTGTATGGGGAAGTGATACATTCTAGTCAGAGAAAGTAGCAAAAATAAGGACATAGTGACATAAAGTTGCATGATCTTTTTTAAGGGAAGTAGAAGGAAGTTGAGAGTGTAGGGAAGGGATTCCAGATAAAATGAGAGAGACGGTTGGAGAAATAGGAAGATCATGGACATTTTGTGCTGTATCAGGTGATTTGAACTTTTATTCTGTAGGTAAAGTGGAGCTGCCAATGAAAATGTTGGCAATAGTGCGGTGACATGACTGGATTTGTGCCTTCATTCTGGTGGCAGGGCAGCATGTGTTGGAATGGAGGTGGGTGGGATTGGCTTCAGGAAGTCAGTGGGACGTTATTGCTGTAACCCAGGAAGCAGATGATGAGGGTCTGGGTGAGGACAGGAACCAAATCGTCCTCATGTATTGCTGTATCACAGGCACTTAAAACATTGGCATTAAGCAAATCTTTGTTAAATGCATGAAAAGACAGTGATGTTGTAATCTCCAGTAGAAACATTCTGTTACTTAGTGGGTAGTTGTGTGCCCAGATAAAAGGCCAGACATCATATTTTATTGGTAACTATTTGAAAGATTAAGTTGCTTTACTTGTAAAATTGAAAATTAAATGTAATAACAGCTAAGTAATGAAAAGCTCTGGCCAACTGTTTTTTTTTGGTTAACTGAGGACAAAGACAATGATTCTCTTTATCATGTTAAAAAAGTTTTAATACTTTTTAAAAACGATAACTAATGCAGGGTTATTGTGGAAAATTTGAAAAATTCAGGAAAAAAGTATTAATACTTTTTAAAAATGATAAACTAATACAGAGTCATTGTGGCAAATTTGGAAAATTCAGGGAAAAAAAAAGCAAAAAAATATCTTCAGAAATCCTATTACTCAGAGGCCACTACCGTTAACATTTTAATATATTTCTTTTCAGTCTTATTTTTGACCTATTATTTTACAAAGTTAGAATTTCATTAAATAAAAAGCTGTATTTTTCTATTACTTTACATCATTAGTTTTCCAAAGCCAGTTAAAATTCTTTGTAAATAATTTTAACTGGTTGTATGATGCTTCATTTATGAGTATATCATAACTTTCTAAATAATTTTACTAATGGTGTTTCCACTCTATTTTTTTTTTCATTTTGGGGCATAAATATCTGTTCCACATTCAAGATTATTTTCTAGAGATAGATTAGGAACATGGAATTACTGCTCATCATGGGAAGCCCTGACTAAACCAGTCATGGACAGACTGCCCTGAGACCCTGCTGCCCAGAAGATACCTCACTGGCCATGCCTGCTGAGGGTCAATGTCATATAGTTGCATTGCAACGTTCACAATTGTGAAAGCTGTGAAAGTTTCACAGTTGTGAAAGTGGCGAAGGTCTAGCCACTTTTGGGCTTTTCATGCCATGATGGGACCTCAGCGTAAGACACTGGGTAGCCATCTTGCAACCAAATGCGCATCCTATGAGGAAATGGGAAGACTTGAAAGGCCATGATCACTGGCCCTCTCAGCCTGATACATCAATTATTTCTTGCTGAAGTAGGTGTCTTTTGATCTTATTGCAGTAAAATGTCAATGGAATAAGAATGTAGGCCGGGCGCGGTGGCTCACGCCTGTAATCCTAGCACTCTGGGACGAGGCGGGCGGATTGCTCGAGGTTGGGAGTTCGAAACCAGCCTGAGCGAGACCCCGTCTCTACTAAAAATAGAAAGAAATTAATTGACCAACTAAAAATATATATACAAAAAAATTGGCCGGGCATGGTGGCGCATGCCTGTAGTCCCAGCTACTCGGGAGGCTGAGGCAGGAGGATCGCTTGAGCCCAGGAGTTTGAGGTTGCTGTGAGCTAGGCTGACGCCACGGCACTCACTCTAGCCTGGGCAACAAAGTGAGACCCTGTCTCAAAAAAAAAAAAAAAAAAAAATGTATGTCTCCGTGCTCATTTCTGATAATTGCCTAATCCCATAGTTTTCTATGGGATTATTTCTGTCAAAGGGTAGGACACATATTAAAGACAGCTATAACTAAATTAGAATAGAAATATTTTCAGTGTTTAGTCATAACTATAGTATTGTTCACCGCACAGAGAAGTAAAGTCCACAGTTACAAACCTGGCAAATCTAATTGGGACAACAAATGAAACGAAACAAAAAGCACAGACTGATTGCATAAACCACAAGAGTTTGTGCTCTTTACCAGAAAAAGAATTTCGGGGAAAGAAAATTCACTAAGGATATCTTACCCTGGCCTGGAACATCGTTAGGAAGTTTAGAGTTCTGCCAGATGAATATGGGGTCCGACTTCACTGGGATAGTCTTATTTTCATGGGTGTCATAGGTCAACAGAGTTTCATACTGGGGCAGAGAATGGAAAAGGAAAAGGATGAACAGAAAAAAGACAGTTTAGAACAGCTTCTAATGAGATTGATCATCCTGCTCAACAACACTAGCATTTCATAACACTCCTCAGTGCAGCAAGGTAATTGCTAACTAGCTAGTTAGGATCTGATCATCTGTTCACAGCATGAACACAGATTTAAACTCCAGATGGGCTGATTAGTCTTCTGTTTCTTTATGGACATACACTACACCATTAATCACTGCCCAACACAGATTCTTTGGGTCTTTCGAGAACTAGTTCAAGTCTTTCATTTTACAAATATTAAAATGGAGGCCAAGAAATATTAAATGGCTAAGTCTAAGCCACATGACAGATGAATCACCAGTGTTTTCCATATTAAGTTGCTTTTGAAAACAATCTCTCAAGAAAATGCACCACAAAATGCATGTCATTTTGATACCTGTCAAGGGGCCGTGAAATAATTTTACATTTCTTAACTGCTATCAATTATATGATTTTCTAATCTCTTTTTCCCCTTTGCTCTAATGTGCTTTCTTATACATGACACTAATTGGGTTTCAAAGATAAAAGGTTTCTTTTTCAAGTAATTTAGCAATGAAAATATTAATATATTCTTAAATTACAGCTGCATATATTGAGTCAATTTGGTAAGGGACATCTGAAAAAAAATGACCATCTTTCTAAATTCATCATTGTTCCTTCAAAATGTTCTGGACAAAAGTTTTGCATTTTCATTTTTTTTCCTGTCTCTCTCCTTTTTCCTTTCAAGGAACAAAACCCCTTTGTGAGCCCTGGACGGGGACCTGGTTGGGGAGCAAGGAAGGGGCTCCCTCAGCCTCAAACTTCACTCATAACTTGAGGCTAAGTCTATAATTGCATATACTGACGATAAGACATATCCTATATGTGAGGGTATGGCATATTAAAACTCTATTTGGAGGCCTGCCCCAGATATAGATTACTGTCTCTCTGGCCCTATGTTTTGGGAACTAATCCTTGGTTTCCCCAAATATACATATATGTTATATTTGATGCACAATTGATGGCATTACATTACTGAAAAATTCAACCAAATTTGCGTTTAGAGGGAGTAAGTGCAAAGAACAACATTTTTCATTTTGAAGAGCAGTCATGAAGCTAACATAAGATATCTCCCCATATGTATGGCCTCTCTCCATGGGAGTCAGGGGACATCCTCCCAGGTGCAAACTCAGAGGGGAACGTAGGTAACTTTGTAGTTACTATTAGTAACTGAAACATTAGAGGGATTTATTTTAAGCTATTCCTGTAGAATATATGCCAAATATAGCATCATATTAAAGGGTCAATATAGTAACTAAAAACTACGGATTACTCTTTTGAAATGCTGCTCCCAAATTTCTGGTTAACTTTTTCAATCTGGACATCTTTTCTCTGGTTTTTCACATTTGCCATTGCAGATATCTTTTACAAATCTGGGTCAATATGTATACTCAATATATGACTTAAGGTGTCATAATGCTCACATTGGATAATGAAAAGATGAATAACGTTTTCTCCTAAATTCCTAGTTGTGTCAGGACCTGACCTCCTGAAGAAAAAAAAAAAGGCATTCTACTGACCACTTGGTTGGCTGGAACAGCAGCTTTCACAGTTTGGATGGGCACAACTTTGGATGACATAGAGATAGGTGTTTTGTGGTTTTGTTTTGTTTTTATACAGACTCTCGCTCTGTTGCCCAGGCTAGAGTGCCATGGCATCAGCCTAGCTCACAGCAACCTCAAAGTCTTGGGCTCAACCAATCCTTCTACCTCAGCCTCCCGAGTAGCTGGGACTACAGGCATGCACCACCATGCCTGCCTAATTTTCATATATATATATATATATATGTTTTTTTAGTTGTCCAGATAATTTCTTTCTATTTTTAGTAGAGACGGGGTCTTGCTCTTGCTCAGGCTGGTCTTGAACTTCTGACCTTGAGCGATCCTCCTGCCTCAGCCTCCCAGAGTGCTAAAATTACAGGCGTGAGCCACCACATCCAGCCTAGGTGTTTTGTTTTTAAACTAAATACTGATCAGCCATCAACTATGTACCAAGAAACAAGCTAAGCACTGGAGAAATGGAGAGGTGAGTAGAACCACTCTCTTTCTTTAAAGAACCTACTGTGAACCTACTACTACCTAAAGAACCTACTACTTTAAAGAACCTAAAAAAGACATATAATGTAAATGAAAGCATAACATTATAGGGCTGTTTATGTGGGCTTCAGGGACTACACAGTTAATGATTTTCATGAGAGTTCAAATGAATAGAACAGGGAATATTTCGTTGAAATCTTTAGTTGTGAAAATGAATAAACAACTTTTAGGAAAGACCTGTTATCTTCTCATTGGTATCCCATAATAGTCTGGTCATTATATTGCATAATTTATTCTGAGTGGGTATTATATATATATATAGTACTATTTACTATATATATATATAGTACTATTTACTATATATATATATAGTATATATATATATAGTATATAGTACTATATATATATATATATATAGTAAATAGAGTAGGTATTCTGAGTAAGACGTTTTTATGAGTCAAAATGATTAAGGAATACTGCCCAAGCGGGGCATAATTGTAAAGCTAAAATGAATTGTCTTCAGAGCCTAAGCATAATTTATCTAATTCCTTTGCTGTTGTTCCTTTTCCAAGTCATCTTTTCTCACCCAATCACATCACCCTGCATTTCCTGATAAGCAGTGAGACATACTTTGTTGGTTTTCAGAGAGGTATAAAGAAGTGTCATGGTTGCGTCAACATCTCCACTGTCATCCAAGGTCACTGGACCCCCATACCCTAGGGCAAAATTAGAGCATGTTAGAGGCCATTGTTGACTTCTTACTTGACAGACTGGTTGGACCCCAACAGAGAATGTAAAATGGGTTCAAATTGCTCTGTTTCAAATTTCCTGAAAAATTGTTGACCCTAATGGTCTAATTAGAGGGCGCCTGGATTGGTTTCTTGACCTTGAGATCCCTGAAGGGTATTTTCATGGGACATGTTATTTAATTGAAAGAAAAATCTTTTTTTATTACATTTAGGATGGCACTAAAAGTAATCAGTTAATAAATCCCTCTATTATTAAGGATTCATTTTTGCTAAGAATATTTCCTAAACTAGTAGCCCAGTGTTTAGGTCACTGCACAATCTGACTTAGATTATAAGAAAATCAAAATTTTTTCACTATCACTTATGGGCTGAAGACATTGAAAAAATTACTTAAGTTCTCTGAGTTCCAGTTTTCTCATCTATGAAACAGCAGTATTGGATAAACCTATGAAATGGCTGTTTAGGTAAAAAATGATCAAATCAGCTATTTCACATGGCTCAACATAATAGCTAACATTTATTTCATGTTCATTATATACCAGGATCTGTGCTAAGTGCTTTATATCATAGAGAATAATTTACCAAATTATTCTCCCTGGAATACCATGATATAGAAATCATTATTATCTCCACTTTATTGATGAGAAATAATTTGTTGAATGTATAGGTATTAAATAATTTGCCCAGGGTTGTACAGGTGGTAGGTGGCTAAACCAGGACACAAACAAATGTCTCTTGGCTCTAAGCCTGTGCTAGTGGCCATTAGGATGTTTCACCATGATCATGGATATAGGAAATATTAAGAATGCACATAAATTTCCTGGTAGAACACATGGGATGACCAATAAATGATCATGACTCCCTCTTTGCTTCTTCAGTGAAGCAGAGGTGGTCTCTTCCTGTCATTACCATTCACATAGCCCTTGCTACCGTCTTCAGCCCTTATGCTGGGCATCTGCTGCCTTCTGTAGCCAACAGAGGAAGACCCACCTTGCACTAGGACAAAGATTTCCCAGAGTAAGACGTAAGCCAGACAAGGCAACTATCATTCGTCTTTTACTTAGTATACATCAGATTTAAAAGAATATTTCTTTGTCATCTCTGGATGAGATCTGGGAAACGAAAGATGGGAATTTTAATAGGGGTTTGTGGGAAAGGGGAATGTTGTTGATCTGCGCGGTTTAGAGGGGTATGTATTGTTTCGGGCGGTATTGTTATGAGGGGTTTCGATGGTTACAGGTTTAACACAGGGTCCCAGATCCTTGAAGGACAGAAAGAGAGATGTGAAGGGAACAAAATCAAACTGCAAATATTTCTTTTCTTGCTAGTCTCCAAACATAGTGAGGACATAACTGCTCAAAATGTCCTGCAATGAGCTTGCTTATAAGTATGGAAACTGAGCTTCATGTTCTTTCTATGATATCCAAAGATCATGAAAGTCCACAGCATAAATGGCAGTCCGCTTATCAATAATAGCGTGGCCAAAGTGTACGCAATGATGTTTGCCTCCAGTTGAGTTCAAAGGTAGTTATTAATAGCTATTAAACCATCTATTGCCAAACCCTTCACCGTCTCCCAAAGTCCATTCAGAAAGCCCACATTTCCTCAGCTTTCTGGTTGTTTGCTCTTTGGAGACCAGTACCTTCAAAAGTGAGGTTCCTGAAGGCATAAGCAAATTTGTGGGTGAGAACTTCTTCTCCATTTTCGAGAAATGTCTTCACCACGTGTCCAAAAAGCAAGATTCCATTCAAGTAGGAAAGAGCAAAGTCTCTTCTTCCCTGAAGGAGAAAGAAAACTCTTAAAATGCATCCCCAAAAAGAGATTCCAGTCTTGAGACTGGAGCAAAAGGTTCTTGGGATCAGCAGAGTAACTGGAAAGTTAAAAGGATATTAAAGGAGTTGGATGTTATTAAAGGAGACTTCTCTTCTTGGGTCCCAGTACTCTTTTTTATCCCATGTCACAATTCTGCCTTCTCTTGGGATCAATAACATAAGAACACTGTCTTTAGGGTAGTAACTATAAGCAGTTATATTTCCTTCCCACAATGATAAAATATACAATTGCCACCAGGAAAGACAACGTGAAGCATTTTCATAATTTCTATAAGATTTTATATGGAAAAAAAAAGATTTTATATGGAGATAATGTTTGCTTATAGTTGAATATTTTCATTAAAGTGCAAAAGAGAAAAAAACAGAAACAATCCCTGCCTTTCAGTGTCCTGAATGGGACTTGAGCAGCTTTGATTGCATGATACCATTGAACTTGCTTTGGAGATAGTTCTGGTTGGGTATTACTTCAGGCCCCAAATGTCTGCCCTGGGAAAGCAATGGAGCTGGTGCATGGTGGACTTCACAGAGCTGAGCTATAAATTATTAATAAAAGCTCTTGCCCTACTGAGACCAAGTGAGTACTGTTACCTTGAGCATTTCAAACTGCCCACTTGTGAAGAATCATACTTTTGTCAGAGCCGAGAATATGGTCAAGTGCTATCTGGTTACTACACCCAGAATTATATTTGCTAGGAAATATAAAAAAGAAAAATAAAACTCTTCCACTGGTTTCCATTTTTTTTTTTTTTTTTGCTGAAGTCATCATGTCATGAAATGAAAAGAATCCAGTTAAGACACAGTCCCTAATTTTGGCAGGGTCATAAATTGGAGGGCTTAGAATTACTAGTCCCGGAAGAAAAACCCAGAGGTATCCAACTGTCCTTATAGCCTTTTGGGCCTGACCCTTGACTCACCCTCCCAAAGTTGTCTAGGCTCCTCAGGATTGCCCCTTCCTTTTCCTCGTACTCCAAATCTGCTCTTACCTGTTAGTCTCTGAGGAGCAGAATGCATCCAATAAATTTAATCACATTAAGGCACAGTGACTGACAAAGCCCAATGTGCTATTATTGTCAGGGGCCCTGCATCCTATAGTAAGGTGCCCATGATTTAATGTCCAAATGGAAGCCCTTTTGCCAGGACAAATGCTAAACCAGATGAGATACTGAGGTAACAAAAATAAACCAGGACTGTCCTGGGCAAATTTGGATAGTGGTCAGCTGAATTGTAATGGAGGACAATGTCTTAACCTAGGAACACACACATGTAAAGGTAGAATCTTGGCATCAGTGACAGGAAAAAAATGCTTTAGGATGTAGAGAACTTTCCAGTAACGCTTTATTTTACACTACTTTTTTTTTTTTTTTGAAACAGAGTCTCACTCTGTTGCCCAGGCTACAGTGCTGTGGCGTCAGCTGAACTCACAGCAACCTCAAACTCCTGGGCTCAAGCGATCCTCCTGCCTCAGCCTCCCAAGTAGCTGGGACTACAGGCATGCCACCATGCCCGGCTAATTTTTTTTTGTATATATATTAGTTGGCCAATTAATTTCTTTCTATTTTTAGTAGAAACAGGGTCTCGCTCTTGCTCAGGCTGGTTTCGAACTCCTGACCTCGAGTGACCCACCTGCCTCGGCCTCCCAGAGTGTTAGGATTACACAGGCGTGAGCCGCCGCACCAGGCCTTATTTTACACTATTTAATTTTTACCTCCCCTAAGTGCAAGAATATCCCTCAATGGCAGGGCTTCTTCCTCTCTTTCCATATTGTCACTTCCACTCTGATATTGCAGAAGGGTCCCCCGTTGTGCTGGTCTAGAGTCTAGCAGAGTGACCTCCAGTAGGAGTTTCGGTAGGGGCTCTGCTCTTGCAAACTGCTGTACTCGTAGTTGGTCTCAGTTAACATTTGTTGAGTGAATTGGAAAGAGTAAAACTAATTTCTTATTTTAGAATTTGGGTTCTGAATGGAAGAACAATTATATTATCCCTGACAAAGAAAATAATAGTATATTATTTATACTATAATATAAAATAAGAGCTTACCGGTGAAAAGTTACCGGAGAAAGAGTAATTCAGTCTGGAATTTTCAGGAGGCAGTGTCAGAACAAGGACATTTTTCATATAGTCAGGGGCTTTGGCATGGTCCTCAAAGTAGTAGTCACTATAATAAAAAGCATGGGTTCCTCATGAAAATTAAGTTCTTCCAAAAATAGAGATGCACCTTCAGCCATTCACAGAAACTATAACACCAGCCTTGAAAATAGTTTAAAACATGTTTTTCCAGTAACCTGAAAAACTTTCTACTTCCCGCAGATAGGATTATTTTCTTCTGTGCTTGCTAAGTTGAATAAGAGAACTTAGGCAGCTACGGTTAACATAAACACGTGGAGAGGAAAATAAGAATACAGATACTTCTTTGAGGAAAATTGTTTGGTCCCTGGACATGTGAGCTAGTACTTGCTTTTAAGGCTTGGTTTATACCTGGAAACTTTCTCTTCTGTAAGTGCTCTTAACACTTTAGAGATAGTGGGACATGGTAGAGAGAAATTTTATCATTAAACTTACTTTTTAGATGGTGAAATATAAGCATAAAAAGACTAACCATTTTCTCTAACACTGTAAGCTTCTTGACTTATGGGACATTAGCTTACTGATCCTTGTATCCTCAACTCTTAGATAATGCTTGGCACTTTGTAGACTCTCAATACTGGCTGAGATTACTCTGCAAATCATATGGTTTCTAAGGTTCCTAATTATTTGGATGTTTTAATATGCAAAGAATTTAACATGTTTGAACTGCTATAATTAGGGTGATCATTATTTAATCTCTTTTAAGAGACAGAGGTCTCACTATGTTGCCCAGGCTGGTCTTGAACGCCTGGGCTCAAGTGATCCTCTGGGCTCAGCCTCCCGAGCAGCTGGGCAGGTACATGCCACTGCTCCTGGAATATTTAATGTTTAAACACTTCTACTATGTGCTAAGGACTGTGTGGAATATTTTGCTCCCATTATCACATCTAACCCTGAAAGCACCCCTAGAAAGAGGACATGTTAATTCTCATTTTACAAACGAGAAGATTTAACCTGAAGATGCTAAAAAAAAACAAAAAAAAAGAGTTAAAAGAATTGGGAGTGTTAAAATTAGAATTCAAATACAAGTTATGTCTAATTTTGAGTCTCATGATCTTTCTAAAACATAGCCAGGTATCCTTTGAGAATAGTGGCAAAGGAATGCCACCACTTTGGTGGTTGATCGAGGATGTGCTGAAAATAAAATTAAACCGACGTGGCTACCCCGAGGATTCCTTCTAGAAGGCAAAGCAGATATTGAAATCAGTATGGTTATTGGAGGGAGATATTGATAACTTTGCCCTCTTTTCTGTACTTCTGTAACTGAAAGGCTGTGTTGGTTGATTAAATTATCTTCATGACCATCTAGCCAACGAACAGGACTACAGTTCCTATGCCTCATCTCCCTTCGTGCTGAAGTACAGTTAGTGTAGGTGAAATGACTAGACAAATTATGGGAAAGTTCTAGAGCAGTGACAGCCTCTGGACTGAATACAGACAGGTAATGATTAATGATCAGGTCAGATAAGTGAAATCATGTGATGTAGCTGCTGAAGACAAGGGGCACAGGTACACCTGTGACACCTTCTTTAAGCCTAATGGGACTCTAATGCTTCCGTGGCACAGTTTGTTAGTGGGGTCTCCACCCTTATCAGAACATGAGTGGTAAAAGATGGCACGTGACAAAAGGTGGTTTCTGCTCTCTGAAATTTTCTCTCGTTAGTCCCAGAGAAGTGTGTAGGAAAAGATCACTACCTAGTGCTACAGAGGGCAAAGAATAATTATGTAAATCAGACACATACACCTGAAACTCTGCCCTTATCAGAGGCAAAAGTAATCTAGGACCAAAGGCCATTAGCAACTGAAGCTCCAGGAATAACATAATGGAGTCATTAGTTGATTTCTCATTTCTTGGAAATCAGGATCCTATGTTGACTGAGTGGGTCTAGTAAATGAATGGACATTTAGGTTTAATGGGGCTTTTATAAAACTTTTATATGTAGACATGATAGAGGTGTCAAAGGAATGCATCTCTGCTAAGGCCACAATAGATTAAACAAGAATGAGGGTGTGATTAAGAAAGAATGAGACTTTGCTTCAAATATTATCATTATACTGAACTCTGTAAGAGGCTGTGTAAAGAAGAGAAGAGAGGATTTGTCTTCTGCAAATCCCTGGAATACTTCATTTTTGAAAGTAGGTAGTTTCTTCCAAATATTATACCTACTTGAATAGATCCACTAGAATAATGACAATGTCTTCATCCACTGCTTGGTCACCCTTGAGGTTGTTGACAGTTTCTGGTGTTCCACACATAACAATCACTGGAGAAGGGAGCAAGGCACGGAGAGAAATACATGACAGTCTACACACAAACTGGAAGGAACCAGTTGCCAGAATTTGAACCCAGCATGTACATGTTACATTTATTTTTAAGATTAACACCAATGCTCCAAATCCCCCCTCCCTTATTTTATTTTTTGTCATTTACAGTTATAGATTCAGAATACAGCTGCATGGGATCTTTAAAAAAAAATCCCCTAGCCCATTCCTTTAATTTTTATAGATTTAAGGGGGCTAACGCCAATATACCAAAGGGTCAAAGAACCAGTAGATGACAAAGATAGCTTTAGTAGTCAAGTTTGTGAGTCTTGGTTTAGTATTTATACCATTATACTAGGCTGGAGTGGTTCCAAAAGCTATTTTCATAGAGAAGTGATGTGCACCTCACTATTTGTAAAAGTGGTTGAAAAAGATATAGTATAAGTGAATGTGAGAAGAATTTATAAAATCTGCCTAAACAACTTTTCTTGGGCTTTGTCTGTAGCTTAACTTAAAACTCCATCTTAGTAATTGCAGTGACAGAGTCCAAACTGAAGCTCTACCACGAATTTCAGCCAGCTGCCTACTGAATGCATGGCTTTATGAGTACGAGGAGTTGGGGAACGACACTTGTTTATGCTGTGCTGTTTAGTTGAATTGTAAACTCTTTAGGGACATGAATAATTTTATACTTCTCCTCCCTCATATCTTGGTTAATGTTTTGGCAACTGGTAGATTCTTAATATAGCAAAATGTTTGATACTGGCAGAAGATGATTTGAGAGATATCAGGAAATCCACCAAGCAAGCAGCTTGCCTTGTAGGAAATTCCCACAATTGATTCCTTTGCTACTGATATATTTTCATTTGTAGACAGAAATATGTGGAAAGTATAACAAATCTCCTAATAACTTAGTTAGAATAATTTTATCCCATTAGCTTTGGATACTTAGCCTCTAGCTGGGAGATCATTGGGCAGTTGAGATACAGAAAGATTAGGAAAGTGAGACAATCTTTGCTTTTCTTATAATTTTTCCTGAGGCCATATAATCAATAAATTTATCCTCTTGGGCACCTGAGGGATCAGGGTTCGGAATGTGTGAGGATTAACCACAAATCCAGTAATATATTGGATTGAGGTAAACTTAAAAAGCAGTTTACTGATGGTGGGTCATGATATTCTTTTGGTTTGTAAAAGCTGGAATTTAGCATTATCATTACTTTCACTATGTTAATATATTTATTCAATACTACTTTTGTATTTTCTCTCAGAGTGTAAGGTTTTAGTCAATGAAAGGAACGATAAAACAATGAAGTTGCATGCAACTATACATCTTCTCCAATATACAAAATATATACAGGCAATGATGATAGCTTTGCAGTGGCAGATTCGTCAAAATGACTCATAAGGAGGTGGTACTCGTGAGGAAGAAATTGGCAAAAAAAATGTCTTCATGTTTTCTTACCATTGCTTTTCCTATTGCGGTCTGTTAAGATAGACTGAAACTGGTCCTTTTTTCTCAACGTGTCCTTAAAGCTGAGTTCCTGGGAAAAATAGGAAACTCCAGCCTCCAGAGCATTGAGGTACCTAGAACAGGAAAAGAGAAACTAAGAAACCAGCTTCAATCCCTCATGGGCTTCTACACCTTTCACTTATTATTGGCAGAGCTATCTGGGGACTCCTTCATTTAAAATTCATTTCTGCTATTAACACGATAGACAGTACACATCATGGTACCACTAGTTTGGATTGTGAACATCTAATTAAGTGAAAGTATGGGGGAAGTTTTAGGGAGTCTTCCTGTATATATACAAATAGTAGACATTTGGTGGGTCCCGTATGAAGGCTTACTGCTCCTTGCTGAAGGAAGGTCCTGCTCTGCTCTATAAATCAGTCCCATTATCATGGAGAAGTTGAAACCTTTAAATCTACAGTACAAAAATTCAGAACTGGTAGGAATAATTTCTACTCTCATGTGAAATGGACTTTTGCATGTTCCAAGTTCACCCCAAAGTTTCTAGGATGGAGGTCTTAAGGTTGATTCTTGCAGTTCCCTAGATGTGACCCCTGGTGGTTTTCCACCTTAGTCTTCTGCATACTTAGGTGGAGAGAGACTGCAGAACTAAGTAGCATCCTGGAAGTAACAGACAGCAACCCAACCAGAAGATTCCCTCTGCCACTTTTGTTGGAGTTGAGTGAACCTTGCAATTTTCTTTTAGCAATGGAACCCATTATTCCTGTTCTCCCTGCCCCTTGTTCCTCTGAAAAGGTGTGAAAGAATTTTTTCTTTCTAACTACTTGTAGGTGTGAACAGAATGCACATTCTCTGGTATCACATCTTACACAGCAGTTGGAAAGCACTAACTTGTGGTTTCATTTTCCTTATCTGTAAAATGGGGATCCTACTACTTGTTTTCTTTTCTTCAGAGAATTTACTGTGGGGAATCAATCAAACTAATGTGAAAGTAGTCACAAAACTATAAAAGTGTTGCAAATGCAATATATGCTGATGACTTTTATAGCTCTATATTTACTTTGGCCCCTTTGCTTCTACATGTGTGTAAGGAAGTGGGCTGGTTTTCACTCCCAACACTGTGACATCCGGTAATAACCTGGCAGTCTGCCTTGAGTCTACAGCTTCTCTACACAGAAAGTGCTAGCAGAATATTCATGATCCTGCTTACCAGAAACAATCCTCAGACTCTTCGTTGCCATCCTTGTAAACATATGAAGAGTTCCAGGAAAATGTTTTAAATGGCAGATTGTTGATCTTCCAAAAGTTAACCAAGAAGTACATCAATTTCCTGGCTGGAGACATCAGCCTGGTTAAGGTTTCTTTATAGTCACATGACAATCCAAAACTTCCAGCTGAAATCATGGGGTAGCTCAACTCTGTGTCAAGGCTATATGCCAAGAGGTGAGAAAGAAACCAGTGTCAGGATTCACTTCAGCAGCACAAATAAGCTCCCTCTTTAACCTGTTTCAACATGTGTGTGTCAGTGGCAAGAATGACATAAGGTCATTAAAGCAGTTTTCCCATTTATATAGGTGTCCCTTCCACATAGATGAATTTAAAAGCAACACTCATTGAGCAGCATGCTATGTTTCAAGCGCATTGTAGGTGGTTTCATGAATATGTGGCTTGGTTGATTTGACTTATTCTAAAATGAGTTGCCGTGATATCTGAGCTGGGACACAAGGGCTTTGGGAAGTAATGCTAAGAAAATAGAGGGTGGGCCACCACAGCCACCATTAACTGTCATACAGCCAGAAAGGTGCCATCTACGCTTTTCCTTCCATGCATTTATTGCTTTCTTCCCAGCTCTGCTCTGGACTACCTCTGAGACAGGCATCAGCTGAGGCTTTGAGAGGCTTTCCTTCCCCTGCTCAGCACCTGGACCTTCTAGTAGTTTCCTAAATAAACCAAGCTTCATTCCCAACCAGAACTTCACAAATGCCAGGAACGATATTCCCCTGCCTCTTTGCCAGAATGACTCTTACTCTTGTCTCAGGTCCTAGATTTCATATCTCTTTATCTATCAGGAAAACTGTCCACAATATCTAAGACCAGGTAATTATTTGGATGAGTCTCTGTTTAATATCTGTCTTCTCCACTTGACTGTAAGCTCCTTGAAGGCAGGGGTCGTGCCTGGCTGTTCACCTGGGTAGCTCCAGTCTGCCTGACTCAAGGGCTGATGCTCAATATGTACTTAATGAAGGAAGAAAAACAACACCCCCTTCCATCTTCAGGGCTCCACTGAAAGGTTTTACAGGGTGTCCTGCTTGCATCTCAAACTCACCATGTTCACAGTCAGATTCATCATTTCTTTTTTTCTTTAAATCCTTACCTTGATTTTTAAATTTCTTTTAATGTTCTGATATCTCAAAGGCTTCTTTGACTTCTCTCCATCCCTCATCCCAACAGCCAATGTTATCCAATACTACTGATTCTATCTTCCAATCTCTTTGCAGCCATCCTCCTTTTCCATGCCCACAGCTTCCTCACTAATTACTAATTCAGGCCCTTCTCCCCTGCTGACTTTCCTGTCGTCAGTCCCTGCCTGTGTCTCTCCTACACACTGTGGTCAATCATTCTTCCCAAAGTTGAGCTTCTTCTCATGACACTCCCAGGCTCAAAACCGTAGTAATTTCTGATGCAAATCTCACTAATGCAACTTCCTTCACCTGGACTTCCCTCCCACGAACTTCCAAATATGGACTGACTTAATTTTTCTAGTCTTGTCTCTTTTATTCCCCTATACATCCCCTGGGCTCCAGATAATACAGACATTCATAAAAGTCTTTCACTTTCCTGCTTCTTTGCTTTTTACACATACCTCTCCCTCTGCCTGGCTAGAAAGTTTACCCCCTCATCCCTACCCATTAAAAATTTATCCATTCCTCAACGCACAAAACATACCACCTCCTTCATGAAGTCTCTCTTTCTCTTGAAGCTTAGCCCCCTCAACCAGACGTGATCCTTTTCTTCTGTGCACGCTGCAGCTTCTTGTTTGTATTTCTCTGGTGGAATCTATCTCACTCTGCCTCGTACTGGTCACCAGAGCCCTTGGCACCTTCTCTATTTGTCTAGGCAGAGGCTGTTTTTTTTTTTTTTGTTTTGTTTTTTTTTAATTCTCTCTACTCTGACAACTAAAATGCCTCTTTGCACATAGAAGGGCTTCATCAATGGTGAAGCAATTTTCCCAATCCTCTGTGCCTTCCGATCGTACCCAATAGCAATATTAGTAAGTGATCGGATGACAGGCGGGAAGGAGTGCAGGAGGAGTAAGGAGCTGTACCTGTCTGCGTTTTGGTACAGAAGCTGGGCTCAAGAAGTGCTCCTGTGTCGTGCCTGTGGCATGTGGGGGGCCTGGGCATCCGAGTCTGTTGGTACTGTGGGTGTGAGGGATCAAAAGCAGACTTTGCAACAGAAATCTCAAAGGTCTGTTTACCCTCCAAAATCTATTGCAAAGGCTCCTTCCGCGCAATTTCCTCTGTGTACACGAAGGGCGATTCTTGATTCAGGGTCAGATTGAACGGGTGAAAGAAAGGCATGAGACAGGATTTTGATTGGCAATGGTGTGATCAGGGGAACAAAATGTTTTGTGCTGATGCAAATCACACCGCGTGGAATGAATGTAAGGGATAAGAGTAATTTTCCCAAAGTTAAAATTTTTTTTCATTCTGAAATGTATTGAAAGCTTTTTTCTAAGATGGTAAGAGTACTGTACCAAGTACTTTTAACATGTAGTTTATATAATCCTCAACTCTATGAAATAAATGCCTTGTCATCTTACTTTCACAGACCCAGAGTAGAACAGACCCCTGCTAACATGCTGAGGGGCGGCACTTCCCTTTGTGTTTCCCTCTCCTCTGCCCATACTTCGGTGAATATTTTATTTATGAAACTCCTCCAGTTGTCCAAGTTCACTGCCTCCCCTGCTTCCTGTCAAAACTCTGACTTTCTACCTATACCACAGTGTCAGTAGCTTAACCTGAATGGCTACTGTAATTCACCTCCCCTGGGCAAATATGAAGTTATCTGGATAAGGGAACAAAAGTTACAGAGAGATGGCAGAATGCTATCAGCCTCAGCACCCCTGATTGTGATGCCTTGACTAGACTGTTGTTTGGTGAATCATTTAAATGGCAATGTCTTGTCTTGACTTCAATTCACAGTAGCATTAAAACAACAGCAAACCAAGCTACTTACTACATCTGGTAGGTAGAATATGTGCATGAGGGTCCCATGAGGGCACAGCCCATTTTTTTTTCTCTCTGTAGAAGAAAAAAAAAAAAACACATAACTAATCTCTAAAACTAAAAAACAAAAATTATTCAATGGGCAGGAAAGAAGTGGCAAGGGGAAGGCTCCCAGAAGATTAGAAAGTGGGCCTCCCAAAATGCCCGAATGCAGAGCAGAGAGGAGCAGCATAGGGTGGCTTGGGCTGGGCAGGGCCAACCAAGGCAGGGAGAGATCTGCGAGGGAAGACATGCTGAGAGTGGAGCCGAAAGTGTTCTGCAAAGGTGGGCTGTCTGCAGGTGAAGCTGGATTCCTTATCAAGCGGAGGATAGGAAGAAGCGGCAGAGGGACTGGCAGGCCGTACCGTGAGCAGGCTGTACCATTAGCAATCTGTAGGCCAGATCGTGGGGAGATGAGATTTGGAGATGCTTTGAAGGGAGAGGGCAAATTTCAATTTTAAGGAGAGCTACAAAGCAGGGCCGCAGAGAACAAAATGCAGTATGATCGATTGGGTCATTATTGATCTCATTTGCTCCAATTTCTCAAGGGGAAACTAGTTAGGAACACCCCACCCCTGGTTTTGGAGAACCAGGGCATACCCCTCTCTGCAGAGGCAGAGCGAAGAAGCACACACTCCTGGCATTGTGACATGGAGTTTATCCAACTACCCTTGCCCACTCCTCACCCTCCCAAGATCGAGAATCACTGCTCTGATCAGCCACTCTTCCGGACACCAGGACAGCCTATCTGGTCCGTGTGAGGTTATCAATTGAAGTTTTAGAGCCATGGCTCTACACCCAGTGCTCTGCTTCTTGGACAGCCTTTTCAGTTTCTGTAGTACCGGGCAGGGGGTGCCTTGCACCCCTACTTGTCTCTGGAGAGCTTGTGACACTCATTAGCTCCTTAAAGCTCTGACTAGGTCTAGAGGTTTGGAGTTGGGAGGAGGAGCAAGGCAAGATTCTGGCCAAGAATCTCTCTTCCCATTTCCATCCTCTGGCATGCATTCACTACTTTAAATTTAGCTGCCAGATTCAGGCCTTAAGCAATTACTTTGTGGCCTGACATAGGGCGATGACTTGACACAGGGATTTCTGGTGTGAGCCTTGAAATGTGGTTTCAAACTTGGCTCATCTGGTATTTCTTGAGGGACACCAAGACAAACCCGTTTAGACCAACATTTAAATTTTTAAAAATTTTAAAAACAACTTAAAATGAAATAATTCCCCTCCATACCACTGAAAGTGTACAGACGGCACATGCTGAAGTTCTCCCCACTTTCCTGGATTCTGGAGGGCCCTTGTCACTTGGGAAGCCTATGGGAGTCAAGCCGGGGGTCAAGCCGGCCTTCAAATCACAGCTGGGAATGACAGGACGTGTGCGCAGGTTTCGTGCTGGTCACCCGGAGCGGAGAGGCTATGGCTGCCTCTGCATTAAGGTTACTTACTGAGATGGCCCTGAGCAGGTCGAGGCCTTCACACGTGCTGCTCCGGCAGTCCCCTGACGTGTGGAACAGGCCGTCCGAATAGATAAAGGAGGCATTCACAGTCACGTTAATGCCTGTTATTGGGAAATGAGGGGAAATAGAAAACTAGCATGACTTCTCAGTAGTTTATACCAGCCATGAGACTCACCCTGGGAAAAAATGGATATCCATGTTCAGGCCTAGGAATATTTGAGTTCTGAGTCTTTGTTTTACTCATAGTCACTTCTTTCCTTTCTCTCTCTCTCTCTCTTTTTCTCTCTCTCTCAACAGATTTATTGTGGCATAATACGCCTACCCTAAAACTGATCCATTGTAAGTGTACAATTCAATGACTTTTAGTAAATATGCGGAGTTGGGCCACTATCCCCACAATCCGGTTTTAGAAGATTTTCATTACGTTCACTGCTGTCTTCATCCTCTTCTCACAACCTCAGACTCAGCAGGTTTCCTGTGTGGCACTGGCGAGTGTCAGGAGAGCAAAAAGACACAGACGCTATGGAACCCTGTTCTTTCATGTTCCCAAGATGCTGGTTCTATTTGCTGCCAATGTGCACGAGGCTGCAGTCTTCCCTGGTCTCCGATTTTCATCCCACCGTCCAGTCAACAAATAGTTACGAGTTGCTGCCATGTGCAGGCACTGGCTCGTCCTTGGGCTTGTGAGGCAGCATTGGACAGAAGTCCTGCCTTCCCAAGGCTTCCGTGTTCCTTGGGGGCTCAGGTGGAAGAGTTATTTCTGAAAGGGTGGGCATGGAAGCCTCTATGGGGAGCTGGGACCTGAGAGAAGTCAGAGTGAGCCATGCAGGTATGTGGCTTCTGATCAGAGGGGACAGCCGGGGCAAAAGTCCTGGACAGGGTCATTCTTGGCATGGTGTAGGAGGAGCAAGGAGGACAATGTGTCATGGCAGAGTGAGCGAGGGGCAGTCAAGACGGGAGGTGAGCTTAGAGGGAGGCCTCTAGTAAGGACTTTCGATTTATTCTGGAATAGAATGTCTTTGGAGGATTTTGAGCAGAGAAATGATATATTGTCTGGCCATCATTTTAAGAGAATATTTCTGGATTCTGATGCAGAGAATAGATTATGGGGACAAGAACAGAAGCAGGAAGACTAGTGAGGAGGCTATTCATAAGCTAGGGTAGCTTGGACTGGAGTAGTGGTAGCAAAAGTAGAGAAAAATGGCCGCATTTTGGATATGGTTTGAAGGTAGGAAACTGCTGATGGATGGGATGTGAAGTATGAGAAAAAGAGGACTCAGGATGACTCGAGTATTTTTGGGCTGAGCAAGTAGGTGCAGGGAACTGCTACTGACCAAGATGGAAAAGAATGTGGGAGGAGTAGGTGTGTCAATGTGGTGTGGTCAGGGGGAATCAAGAGTCGGTAGACTTGTCAGGCGTGAGATGTTCACCAGACCCTGAACAGAGATGACAGGTATGCAGTTGAAAATAGACCCATCAGAAATTGTTATTAATGCAGTCATACGTATTGATAGACAACCGCCACACCTGTCTCTTAGATTTATAATTTTTGCACAAAAGGGATGTCTTGGTCAGTTTTCTAGAAAACAGAGCCTGAGACAAAAGCTCTATTGGGTTTGTCACCCCAGAGTGCATATACATAAATAGTGGGATCTGAAATTTTATCTATAGTTGTATTATCCAAAATCTATTATACATTTTTGATTTCACAGATCCAAACTCATGCATGAGGGAAAGACCTTTTACCAGCTAAATGATCCACCAAGATGTTAAAACTAAAATTTATCAATGGGGTAAGACTGCTTGCTCTCAACTAATCTTGCTGTGTCACAAATTTTAGCCCCTTTCTCTAGTGAAGCATTCAAGATATAGAGTAAGTAGTTTATGGGAACAACACATGTATATGCTCAGGAAGTCCCCGGTTGGGTCTGAGCAACCATAGCCACACTTCTCAGATGAAATGAATATTGTTAACAGTCTGTCATCTATTTTTCATGGAGAAAGTGCCACAAGGTTATGTTTCCTTTTTCAGTAGACAAAAAAAAAAAAAAGAGGTTGCAAAATCCCCAGAAGATCCCCTCTTGGTTTTGAAAATCTGTTCCCTTATGTTAAAATGTTTCTCATGAAGGATAAAGAAAAAAAAATATGTTCTTGGAATGTCCATTTCTCTGAGGAAAATAAAAATATCCTCATTTGTGTCCTAAATGAGATGAGAGTCTTGATTGGATTTCACTCTGGTTCACAAATTTCTCCTCTTAGAAAGCAATACAAGAATTCCCTTTGGAATATTTGCTTAGCCACAAGGGTGGTTGGTTTTACTGATTGGAACACCATTCCTGATGATGAGCATTTCCTGTTTGGTCTACTAACAAAGCCAACGTGAACTGTGTTTATTCTGGCCTGGGATCTTCGGATAATGGAGAACTTCCATCTCTAGATGAAAGTGAGGATCTTGGTGTTGATATTCCTGGGCCTTGCCAGGCACCATATTTGGGAAGGCAATAAAAAGATAACAGAGTCATCTGACCAAGTTGTATCTCTCACATTTTGATCCCCTCCCAATAAAAGGTGATCAGAAGGCCAGATGTGATGGCTCATGCCTGTGATGCTAGCACTCTGGGAGGCTGGGGTGGGAGGATAACCTGAAATCAGGAGTTTGAGACCAGACTGAGCAAGAACAAGACCTGGTCTCTACAAAAAAATAAAAAGTTAGCTGGGTTTGATGGTGCATGCCTGTGAGGCAGGAGCGTCACTTGAGCCCAGGACATTGAGGTTGCAGTGAGCTATGATGATGCCACTGCACTCTAGCCTGGGCAATAGAATAAGACTCTGACTCAAAAAAAAAAAAGTTAACCAGGTCAAATGTCTCATTCCTAAGCAGAGATGTCCTTAATTTTGCCAACCGTACAGTGAGTCTGAGGACCTCAGTCTTTAGTCTGGCATTATGAGTGACTTTCTATGTGTTCTTACACAAGCCTTTTTAATTTCTCTGACTTGCTTTCCTTACATGTAAAATGAGGTTAGAGCCAAGTTTTTCAAATGGAATAGTTTTTAATGATTATTATTTTATGATGATGTATGTAAAAAGGGAACCAACAACTGTTGAGTGTGACCTTGGACAAGTGACTTCACCACTGGGGCCCCAGTTCCTCATCCATGGATTGATAGAATAGAGCCAGGTATTCTCTTTTGCTGAGTGCCTGGCATTGGGCTATGAGTTTTTACCTGCAGTATTTTTTTTTTTGAGACAGTGTCTCGCTCTGTTGCCCGGGCTAGAGTGCCATGGCGTCAGCCTAGCTCACAGCCACCTCAAACTCCTGGGCTCAAGCAATCCTCCTGCTTCAGCCTCCCGAGTAGCTGGGACAAGAGGCATGCAGCACCATGTCCAGCTATTCCACATGTTATAAAAAAAAAAAAACAACTTTTGCAATGATATTGAGGATCATTCCTTTGATCTTCCAAAAAATAAGAATCTCTAGTTTCATTAATAAGAACATGAAGACTGGCCGGGCGTGGTGGCTCACGCCTTAATCTAAGCTCTCTGGGAGGCCGAGGCGGGCGGATGCTCGATGTCAGGAGTTCAAACACAGCCTGAGCAAGAGCAGACCCGTCTCTACTATAAATAGAAAGAAATTAATGGCAAATAGTATATATAGAAAAAATTAGCCGGGCATGGTGCCGCATGCCTGTAGTCCCAGCTACTTGGGAGGCTGAGGCAGAAGGATTGCTTGAGCCAGGAGTTTGAGGTTGCTGTGAGCTAGGCTGACGCCATGGCACTCACTCTAGCCCTGGCAACAAAGCGAGACTCTGTCTCAAAAAAAAAAAAAAAAAGAACATGAAGACTATGTTCTTATAAGCGCCAAAAGTTGGCTGCTTTCATAAATAGAACAGTTGGACAAGCTGTGAAGAGCACAGATAAACTGCATAAGGTGATCTATTGCAGAAAGAAGCTCTGTCACCCCTTGTGACAGAATAAAAAAATAGTCCTTTAAAAGTGGGGCTGTGACATAGCAATAAAAAAAATGAAATAGTTTGTGTAGCGCACCTGCCTGAAAAATCCCACATGATGGTTGGTCATATTTGGTTAACTCCAGTGATTCTGGTTCTTCACAGAGAGAAACCCCATAATCAAAATATGGTGAGTTTTCTCTTGAGATTCCTCAGGACCATGAAACAGTGGCCCAAGTTTTGTTAAGCGGAATTTGAGATCAATGTAGCTTTAACTTTCTTGAAGAAAGAAGATACTAATATTAGTGAACTCGTAGCTTACTTGGTGAGGATAGATCTTGTAAACTATTGGTGAGTAATAGTAATAGTAAATTAGTAATAGTAATAGTACTTTAGTAAATAGTAATAGTACTTTACTATACTAAGTAATAGTACTTTACTATAGTATAGTACTTTAGTAAATAGTAATAGTACTTTACTATTACTTATTACTATATATATTACTATTACTCACCAATAGTTACTTTACTATTACTTTACTATTACTCACCAATAGTTTACAAGAAGAAAACAATACCTCTCACTTGGCTGCTGTATATAGACTATTGCTCTAGTAAAGTCATTACTTAAAAGCAAATTTGAAGAATATATTAGAGTTGGCCTAAATGGGCTTCAAGCAGTCATAAAGTGGTGGTCAGAATTATCATCCAAAATACAAATTATAAATGATGGAAATATCAGATTTTTTTATTTGGCATATTATGGGGGTACAAATTTTAAGGTTTCAAACAATGCCCTTTCTCCCCTTCCCCACAAGTCTGAGTTTCCAGCATGACCATCCCCCAGATGGTGCGCATCTCACTCATTATATATGTATATACCGCACCCCCCCCTGCCCCTGCCCAATACCCTATTACTGTAGTTCCTATGTGTCCACTTAGGTGCTGCTCAGTTAATACAGTTTGCTGGTGAGTACATGTGGTGCTTGTTTTTCCATTCTTGGATACTTCACTTAGTAGTATGAGTTCCAGCTCTAACCAGGAAAATACAAGTGTGCTATATCACCATTGTTTTAGAGCTGAATAGTACTCATGGGTATACATATACCACATTTTATTAATCTGCTCTTGGATTGATGGGCACTTGGCTGTTT